TTTTGAGAGTGAGAGCAGGGGAGGGGCAGAAAGGGAGGTACAGAAAGAATCCCAAGCAGACTCTGCACTGTCAGCACAGAGTTCGATGTGGGGCTCGAACTCACAAACTGTGAGATCATGACCTGAGCCAAAATCAAGAGATGCTTAACTGGCTGAGCCACCCAGGCGCCCCTCAAGGACATTTTAAGCATGAATTTCCATGCAGACTTCAAATAAGAGAACTTAAAATGAAAAGGGATTGTAAAATGATTAAATGATTTTTTTTTTATGCCCCAAGCTTCCATTTTGAGAATCATTTACCTCTAGAAATGAGGAAGATAGAGGCAGCTGTAATTCACTGTTCTCGGTATCTCAGACCATCTGCAGACTCAAAATGTAAATAATGAATTGGTTGGGGTTGGCCAAATCTGCTCTATCGAGTTTATGGTGCCACTGACAGATGGGTGTAGGAGGACCTTCCAGTTCAAGAAAGACCAGGATGTACAGGAGAGATGGGCTGGGGTGGAGGAAAGGCCCACCTACTGCCTTGCTCCTCCTCTTCCGACCCCACCCACTCTGTGGAACCCTTCAAGGATCTTGACAACAGAAAGCAAATTCAGCCCTTTAATGGTGACCATGACGGTGAGACGCAGGGGCTTGTTCTTTGTCCAGCATGGATTGATCGCCTTGTGTATGAATCCAATGTTAGCCCCACAGCAGTGGGGGATACCATCCTCCCCACTCGAAGACCTGGAGGTTAAGTGGACAGTTAGGGCCAGTTATAGTGGAAGGTAGAGATTTTTACAGCAGTGATGGGTCTCCAGAGGCCAAGTTCCACGTGGCTTCATCCTACAGCCTCTTAGGGATGAGCTTCCTATTTTAAAATGTGGATGGAAAGAAGGAAAGGGAAGTGTAAAGCAGCTCGTGTTTATTCTCAAAATGGAGAACGGTGACATATGCAGATTAGATAGAGGGTGACTTTGGAAGCAAATGTAGCACAAACTCTGGGGTGACAGACCTGGTTTTAAATTCCAGACTTATGATTACATGAAAAGTAGAGGTGATAGGAGGCACTCTTATTGTCCAGTGACCTACTTTCCAAGAAACCAGTCCCAACTTCCCTTAAAGAATGGTTTGCAAGGAGTTGGAATCACATACTGAGCGCCAGCTACCCTGAACGAAACATGCTCCAGGACTCCCAGAAAAGCTTCCTGGTTGGAGTCTTGAGTTTGTAAACATACACTTTTGCTTTAGACTTTGTTACTTTGATAAAAATAGCCACGTTTTCTTTTTTTTTTAATTTTTTTAATGTTTATTTATTTTTGAGAGAGACAGAAATGGAGTGTGAGCAGGGAAGGGGCAGAGAGCAAGGGAGACAGAATCCAGAACAGGCTCCAGGCTCTGAGCTGTCAGCACAGAGCCCGACGTGGGCCCGAACTCAGAAACCGTGAGATCATAACCCGAGCCGTAGTAGGACGCTTAACCGACTGAGCCACCCAGGCACCCCCAAAATAGCCAAGTTTTCTAAAAATGAGTCCATGTACAAGTTTTGATAATATTAAGGGACACCGTATCTTATCATAAGTATCATACTAATCTTATATCTTATTATAAGAGAAACAGTAATGATGTCAAAAAAAATTTTTTTTACTGCTACTGTTATTACTGTATGACTTGGAGGCAGCAGGAGAGTTTGGGGGAGCTTCCTGGTGCTTCCACTGGGAAGGAGGAGGACCATCCTGCTTTAGAAGACGTAAGAGCTTTTACTGCTGTGGTGAAACAGGGGCCTTGCCCCATGTTGGGAAAGTGGGAGCTCAGGAGAGGAAAGGGCCAGTGATGTGAGCTGCCGAGGCAGAGATGGGCCCCTGGCTGCCTCGGGAGAGCATCCGAGGTGGGCAAAGAGAGAGGGGGGCTGCCCCAGACCCTGGCAGGGAGGGCTTGAGAGGCCAGTGGTCCCTCGGTGGGGATTCAGATCAGAACGCGGTGGGGTGATGCAGTCAGGGCCGCGCATGCCCGAACATGCGGTGGTGGATGGCTGTGAAAGTTAGGGAAGCGAGGGTTGGTGGCACGATATATGTTTTGAATTTATTTCCCGATTTCTGTGCCAGAGGCTTTTTTTTTTTTTTCACATGGCTTTTTTTTTTTTTTTTTTCAGACTTATGGTCAAGTTTTCCATCAGGTTCCATCCTAGCAACCACAAACGAGACTTACATTTCTGGGTTTGGAGTTGCTCGTGTGGGCAAAACCCGGCACTTGTACAAGCAGAAGTGTACATGAAGAAGGAGTTCTCAGTCCCACTTCACTGTGGAAAAACCCAGCCCACGCCGCCGACATCCACACAGCAGTCGCCGCTGGCACTGAAGGGTCTGCGCCATATTGCCTCGGGCCACAGGCCAAGAGCAGGTGCCCTTCCCCTCAAAAGCATGCTAGTGCATTCTGGAGCCAGAACTGGACCTCTAAAGAATTGTCTCAGGCAATATCTCAAACTATATGTATGTGGGAGGTGGCCCCAAGTGGGACTACAGTCTCAGGTGACTGCCCTGTCCCTACTTCAAGCTAGCTGCTAATAATACCAAAAAATGAGAATGGCGCTTTTAGCAGAAAAAGCATTCTCTCACTGCCAAAATATATTTTTCTCTCAAAAGGGAAACAACCCGGCGCAAGAAAACCTTTTAGCTGCTTGTTGACCTGACGTCATCCTCTACAGCTCTATGCTAATTACCTCTCTGTTAATTAAAATCTAGAGTACTCATAACACCTGTAGCCCAGCTTGGACACACTTGTGATTCATGACCTTCAACTTCAAAAATCAATTTCAAAAAGATACTCCTACAATTTTTCTTGCCTGGTGGGACCCCAGGAGTCTCTCCACAAAAATCCTTGATTTGTTTCCAGAACTTACCTCATGACTCCCGTTGTCTCTGGGAAGTGGTATCGTTCTAATGGGATCTCAGCGAACTGTTAGATCAGCCAGTTCAGCCCAATTCCCAAGCCAGGAAACAGCCCTTAGCAACCTTCAGTGTGTCTGCATCCTTTGAAATGGATATTTTAAAGGTAAAGATAAATTATTTCTGAGTCTGAAGAAGACTTTAGATATTGTCAAAGGAACCCTTTTTCCTACATGTGAACATTTTTCTAGAAGTTGAAGAAGCCACGCTTCCCACAAGTGTATCTTTAGAAAGCTGCATTCACTGTAATTATACATGACTTATAAAGCACATTAGGCAACTGTGTGTGTAAGTAAATGAGGATCCTCAGCTGTGTGACTCCCGAAGTGCCTGGTAAAGATTACAAAGTTCCAAATAGGTAGTAAGCACTTTGTGGAGGGCAAAATAACAGGGTTCCATTTTCACATTAGCAGGGTGAATCTTAGATTTGTGAGAAATGAGGGCGTTTTGCAAACTATAGCAACACTACTGTTCCAGTTCAGGCCACTTAGACCAATGTGACTTGTTACCCTTTCTGACAGAGCTTGCTCACAGGCTCTTAATCTACTTCATCATCATTACAAACAATGAGTTGTACTCTGAAACTTCAGAATTCCCAAGCAAGACGATGCAGTATATTAAACTCTTGTAGCCATCTGTGTTACGAAGCATTTCATACACACATGCATGCATACACATGTGTATAGACCTACGTTCGTATACACATATGTATCTACAAATATATATATATATATATGTATGTATGTATACACATACTTATCATCATTTTGCGCTCTGAGAAGAGATCTCTCTTGTGCTACGGGATGATCCCCATTGACTTTAAAAATGATCAGGGATGGGGCGCCTGGGTGGCTCAGTTGGTTAAGCGTCGGACTCTTGATTTCAGCTCAGGTCATGATCTCGCGGTTCATGAGTTCGAGCCCCACATCCAGCTCTGCACTGACAGTGCAAAGCCCTGCTTGGGATTCCCTCTCTCTTCCTCTCTCTGTGCCCCTCCCATGCTCTCTCTCTCTCTCTCTCTCTCTCTAAGATAAATAAATAAAAAAGTTTAAAAAAATGATCAGGGAGGGTGATAATCTTAGATATGGCAGGTCTTTTTCATACAGATCCCCATTTATTGGGGAATAAAGAGAGTCACTTATGACTACTAGGAAAATGGCTCTCCTCAGAAAATCCTATGGATTTTATGGGACAACTGGGTGGCTCAGTCAGTTAGGCCTCCGGCTCTTGGTTTCGGCTCAGGTCGTGATCTCACGGTTTCGTGAGTTCGAGCCCCGTGTCAGGCTCTGCACTGGTAACATGGATCCTGCTTGGGATTCTCTCTCTCCCTCGCTCTCTGCCCCTCCCCCACTTGCACTGTCTCTGTCTCTCTCAAAATAAATAAATAAACTTAAAAAAGAAAGAAAAAAATCCTATGGATTTTAATGTGCTGTTGAGTATTTTCCACAGGCACTTTTTTCATCCTTCTCACAGAGCCTCATCATCTCCTAAACTAGTTCTCCCACAGGGGCAATTTCTGCCCCCAGCGGACATTTGGCAATGTGTGAAAACATTTTTGGTTGTCACAATTGGTGGGCGGGGGGGGGGGGTTGGAGGGAGGAGTGCTGCTGGAACCCAGTGAGTAGAGGCCAGAGATGCCTGCTGAGCCCCCTGCAAAGCACAGGAACGCCCCCACAACACCTGCACAATAACGAGTCACCAGGCCCAAAATATCAGTAGTGTCGAAGCAGAAAAATTCCATTCATTAAAAGTCCCTCCCTCACTCAACATTTATGCTGCCCTTCCAACTTTCACAACTGAGTTAATTCTGATTACCTAGAAGACTCCTCTCAATAATCAACCAAAAGCATGTTGACGTGCTGATAACTATTCACCCTTGAACGCCAGAATCATTCATAGCCCAGGTATTTAGCTCTAGAAATACACCTGTCCTCTCTCAGATGCAAAAGTTGGTTAAATATAGTTAATGTATCCATTGGGACATGGTATATAATGAAAGTTAGGGGTAGAAAAAGAGTATGTGTACGAGCTTCCTAGGGCCGCTACAACAAATTAGCACAAACTGGGGGAGGGAGGAGTGCTTAAAACAGTTTATCCTCTCAGAGCTTTGGAGGCCAGAAGTATGAAATCAAGGGGTCAGCAGGGCTCTGCTCCCTCTGCCATCTCCAGGGGAAAATCCTCCCTGTTTTTTCTGCCTTCTGGTGGCTCCAGGTGTTCTTTGGCTTGTGGCCCCATCGTTCCAGTCTCTGCCTCTGTTGTCACATGGCCTTCTGTCCTGTGTCTTCTCGTTTGTGTCTTATAAGAAACTTGTCACTGGATGTAGGGACCACCTGGGCAATCAATTAATTATATCTGCAAGGGCCATTTTCCTAAATAAGGTCACAGTCACAGGTTCCAGGTAGATAGATCTTTTGAGGATCTATCTCCCAAGATATCAACCCAAGACAGTGTGTGTGTATTTACACAAAATTACAGTGACAAGGCTATGCTCACAAGAAGCAAAACATTTTCTCAAAGTGTAAAATAAGGTTTAGCATAGTTTTACTTGGATCAATAGTCTCCCTACAACCTCTGTCTTTTGAATTTAAAACTCCATCATCTCTATCTATAAACTACATCAATTGTTTACAATAAAGACCAGGTATCAGAAAACCTGGTGGCTGGAGAGAACTTCAGAGAGAAAGTAGCAGGCTTACTTCTGGATATGTAGGATGTATGACACAAAGCAGAAGAGGTGCAGCTTTAGAAGGTACACACTTCCACAATTCTTCTAAGTAGCTCTCCAGTGATTCATGGTTTCATCGGGAAAAGGCAAAAACAGAAGATCATGGAACGCAAAGGAACCTCTAAGAGAAAAAAGAAAGACCTTGAAAGACATTTTGTTAAAATCTCTTTATTTTAGAAATTAGGAAACTAAGATCCCAAAGACTTTCATCTTTGGTTGCGTGCTCTCCCATGTCTTAACTGACGCGAGATTAGAAACTCAATTAGAAGCTCATCATTCTTGACCAATGTTCATTCTCTACATGTTACATGATGTCTAACCTACTCTCTTCCTACTATAAAGTAAACCCATTCTTCTGATCTTCTTTTAGTTGAAAGAGAGAGGAGGCCCCCATCCATAAGATGTATTCTCTTCTTACACTCTGTATAGTCAGGTCAGGCTACCATAACAAAATACCCTAGACCTTATGTCTTAAACAACAGAAACCTATTTTCTTGCAGTTCTGGAAGGTGGAGGTGTGAGATCAGGATATCATCATGGTTGGGTTTTTGTGAGAGTGCTCTTCCTGGCTCACAGGTGACCACCAACTCACTGGGACCTCACATGCCTTTCCTTCGTGTTTGTGCAGAGAGAGAGAGAGAGACAAAGAGAGAGATAAGGCCACTAATCCTATCAAATTAGGACCCCACCTTATCAATTCATTTGCCCTTAATTACTTCCAAATACAATCACATTGGGGGTTAGGTCCTCAGTGTATGAATTTTGAGAGGACGATTCAGTCCATAGCACAGATCCTATCACCTTATGTCAATAAAAAGTATTATACTTGCAAAAAAATTTTCTATAACTTTGTGATTCGCTCCATTTAACAAATTGAGAAACTGAGGCTCAGAGAAGTCAATCGGTTGGCCCAAGTTCATACAGTGAATAAGATGCAATCCAGAACACAGCACGTCTTTTATCTGGATTCTGGAGCTCTCTCCCAGTGTTCAGGATGACCTTGTGTACTGGTCACCTGTTAGTAGTTGTCCTTATAAAGCATCTACAAGCACTGTGGAAACAAATGGCTTCTAACAAGGCCCTTGGAGAGACCTATGGAAATCTAACATGGTAATTCTTGTACATGACCATCTGACACATTAGTGACTTAAACCCCGTAGAATGGAAACAGTTTAATATGTCATCTGTTCTCATGTGCACCAGGACTATGGCTCGAGAGAGGATTCAGCTGTTCCCACAGTAAGCCAACAACTCCTACAAAAAAAAAAAAATAAAAAAAAAAAGTCGTAAAGGCATAAATGATTATTCACGGTGACAAAAGCACAAGTATTTCGAACAAGAAAACATTATGTTAAAGAATGTAAGAGGGAAAAAAACCACCCTGATACAGATTCATTCACTGAGTTTTTCAATGTAACTTCTAAGATGAAACACACAAGAAACGTTTTATGCCACTATATAGTATGAAGGTTTTACCAAATATAAACAGCAAAAATACCATCTGTTGATAGTGATACGTATTTCTAGATGATTCGGGGTATAAACATAGAAACGTAACATGTAAGATATTTTTAGTTAAAGTTAAAAAAAGCTTTTCCCACTTATGTCTGCTAGTAAAAATTATTAATTTTTATAGGTGTGATGACACCGTTGTTACAGAAGAATTACTGTAGAGATTCAAATGGAAGTAAATATTGAGAAATGGAATGGGATAGGTTTTAGGTCTGTAATGAACTTGCAAATTAAAAAATGAAGCAAATAATGTATTCAATCTCATTTATGTATATGGTAGCTCATTACACTATTCTTTGAACTTTTATCTCTGATTTTATGTTTTGAGAGATTGCCTAAAAATTTACAGTAAGAACAAAAAGAATGAAGTTACCAAAATCTTAGAAGCAAAATATAAATAGTGTATTATTTAATAGAATATGACTTCTCGGTATTGCATGAATGGCTCACATAAGAGGAACCCAAGAGAAAAGATGTGTGTGTGTGTGTGTGTGTGTGTACACACACACACACACACACACACACACACACACACACACACACCTGTTCAGAGAAACATACACATTTTTCCAATGTCTGTTACTAGGAGGACACATTGATCGGTAGATTTGAAGCAACCATAACTATTTTTAGAATTAAAGAAAATAATAATTTCATTTTGAGTAGGCTAGGCCTGTTTGATTTTTCTGACATACAAAAAAAAAAAAACTGTACACAATTAATGTATACAACTTGATGATTTGGGAGGTGAGGGTACACCCATGAAACCATGACCACCATCTATTCCATAGGCCTTTCCACCATCTCCCAAACTTTCTTCCCACCCTCTTATTTATTGTTGTTATTTTTTGTGATAAGGACCCAACCTAAGACATACCCTCTTAGTAAATCTTTAAGTACACAATACAATATCATCAACACCAGGCACAATGCTATCCAGTGGACAGTTTGACCTTGATAGCCAGAATTCTTCATTTTCTGATCCAAAACAAATACAAAGACGCACCTTCAGGAGAACTGAATCCACACGCACCTACTATTAAAAGCAGAGTTTGTGTGGAAAGCACTCATGAGCCACACACACATTCTCTTTAAGCTTCGATTTGAAAGACTTTTTGAAAGGTTAGAAACCTTCCTCCCAAGGGTATTCAAAAAGCCGGAAGTAGCTTTTTGTCACTTGCTCTCAATTTTTTCCCCCAAGACGAAATACAGGAAGCCAACTCAGAGTAGCTAGTAAATTCAGTCATTTTAAGGGCTCCATACGTCCCCCTCTTCTCTCCCTCTCAGACTCCATTCTTGCCCCTCTCCAGAAGTACAGCAGCCAGATACGAGACAGAGAGCACCTTGAGTGCAAGTGGAGCCTCCGGCCTACCTGAGGGGCTTTCATTCAAATAAAGCTTCCCATTTTGCCTCTCTCATGAATGGTGTATGTGTGAGAGCAGGAGGTAAATACGCCAGGAAGACAAATCTGGTCACACGCTCAGAGTCTCCTCACTCCCGTCTTTGGAGAACACCATCTTGCCTCTGGAAGCCATTAGTCCCCCTCACCTCCCAGTTTGCAGCTACCATAGTAAATTCATTATTTTATTTGACAAATAACTCTGCGTTTGACCTCACATGATTAGAGAATGTGGGAACGCGTGGGGTTAGGAAAGATGCTAAGCCAAGTTACAGGAAAGAAGACGAAACCTCACCTCATAGGAGGAAGACAAATGAAGTGTGCATAAGTGCAAAACACATCTGTGAGCTCTCGCACAACTTAGCCCTGGGAGTTTACAGGAGCAAATGCCACACCTCAAATACTGAGTGGCTGGAGACAAAGAAGCAGTGTGATCAGTTGACTGTCTCACAATTTTAGGAAAAGCTGAAATTGTAGATATAATATTTTCCTATTAACAAAGAAATAATTGTTTCTTTAAAAAATATTCACCTCTAACCCCATCCCTGGGAAATGGTACGCTATTAGCACCTTGATCCACAGACTTCCAGATGCTTAGAGAGGTTTTCCCTGCGAAATCTAGCTTAAAAAATGACCCAATCCATCACTATCGGCCCCACTGTGAACACTTTGGTAGCAAAGGTCAGAAAATCCACATCAGACTGGTTGACGCAAGGAGGGATATTAATCCAGAGGCTCAAATGAGGTCTCTCTCAGGTCTGCCGTCCTTCACAATGGCTTCATTTGCAGATGCCCTGTGATGAAAAGAGGGCCACAGCAGTAAAAGGCTATCTTCTCCCAGATTTAAATCCCTGAGGTCATAAGCTCCCCTCCCTACCAGTTGCTTTTACAAAAGACCAAGTAATGGCTCCAGTTGCATTGTGTGGTCATCCATGAACCGACTACTTTGGTCAGGGGAACACAATGAACTCAGGAATGCTAAATGCCCGGGAAATAGAGAAATGAGGAAGAATGCCTTTTTTCTGTCTCTACGAGTGACCAATCAAGCAGTGTTGCTTATGCTATAGTGTTGCAGACTATATGAAGACTTCTTTAAATTTCTACTCACAGCCTCCTGAATGTACCAGGCCATACTCACAATGGTCATTTCATCTTCCCAACTTGTGACCAAATTTTGTTACTGACAAGCATCTCGCCTGGTTCCTTCTGCCCTCAGGTCAATGGTTCTCCTGGGTGGCTCCCAAGTCCCTTGGGATATAGACACCTGGCGTCTATATTCCAGCTGACTTTCAAAGGAGAGTGTCCCACTCTGTCACCCATCTCTCTCTTTCTCTATCCCTGACTCTGTCTTGCTCTCTGGCTCTCTCTGCTTAAAACATCTAAACTCTTCCTCTTTAGCACCGTGCAATGTTGTGTCTGTTCAGAGGGCCTTTTGAAAGACAGCATTTGGTTGACTTTCAGATCACTGTTTTATGTATATTGTGGAAGACAAGACACTAAAGAGAGATTTGGCTCCACCTGGAATATACGTAATCACATAAGAGAGCACAGACGGGATGGGTCAGATGGTACTGGGGGTTGGTGGGTAAGACTGGAACCCCACTCTATCATGTTGCTGCCTCCTAGGGACGCTAACTGCATCTTCATGGAGTAAAAGAGTTCTGGGGTAAATTATGAGTGGACCAGTTTCTAAAGCAATGCCTGAAGGCCTACATGTCATAATGGCCACTGTGACGGCAGGACTACCTCTGTCTCTATGGAGATAAAGACAGAGTCCTCAAGGAAGACAGGGAGGAACACAGAGTCAGTCTGCTTTGGTCTGAATCCACAACTCTGCGACCGGCTACCTATGTAACCTTGAACACACCTTGAACGAGAAAACCTTAAATAAATACAACCTTGACTTCTCTGTGCTTCATTTTTCTTGTATATAAAAAAGGAGATATATTAAGAGGTGCCTGGGTAGTGGAGTAGGGTTAAGTGTCTGACTTCAGCTCAGCTCATGATCTCACAGTTTGTGAGTTGAGTTCAAGGCCCACAATGGGCTCTGTGCCGATGGTGCAGAGCCTGCTTGGGATTATGTCTTTCCCTCTTTCTGCCCCTCCCCAGCTTGTTCGTTCTCTAAATAAATAAATAAATAAATAAATAAATAAATAAATAAACTTAAAAGGAGAGAGAGATTAAAACTACCTACCTCCAAGTGCCTGGATGGCTCAGTCAGTTAAGCATCCAACTCTTGGCTTCTGCTCAGGTCATGATCTCACAGGTTTGTGAGATTGAGCCCTGCATGGGACTCCATGCTGAGAATGCAGAACCTACTTGGGATTCTCTCTGAGAACCCCTTCACCTGCATGCTCATTCTCTCTCTCTCCCTCTCAAAATAAACAAACAAACAAACAAACTTAAAAAACCTCTACCTACCTCATGGGATAATTCTGAGGATTAAATAGAACAACACACATGAAGGGCTTGCCACAATGTCTGGTACATAAGACCTCCATCAATGTTAACTGATATAAATAGTATCACTATCATTCCCACTACTTAGAAACTACATGGTGATTTAGGAACACGGAGTTTGGAGCCAGACTACAAGTTCAAACCCAATTCCATACCTTACTGTGTTATCTTGGGCAAGTTACTTAGACTCCACAAGATTTAGTTTACTTACCCATAGAATAAGAACCATAGCATACCTGCCTAACGGGCAGAAATAAAGATTCAGTTAAATAAATAGATCACTTGGCTCTCAGACGTTGTCTATCATTTGATGAATGCAGTGTGACGTTTGAAGTTTTCTGATGAGCCCTCTCCACCTCAGTACCTCCACAAAGAAACAAATATCCACAATTGCCATTTCTGCCCCAGGTATTTGGAATCTTAGAGTTGGAAAAGTACTCCTTCAGTTTAAAGGCCGTATTTGCCAGTAAATGTAAATGCCCTGAGGTGGCTGGGGAGGAGGTGTATCCAGCCAATAGCTCAGCATTTTTGGTAGTTTAGCAAATGCTTCCCAAGGTGACAATTTTAGAAAGAATGAGTGAAGGTAAGAACACTGGACAGAGGAGCCGTGAGTTTATGATAACGACACCTAGGGGAGCCCGGGAGAGGGAGAATGGCCCCAGAAGTGTAGACGAGTGCTCTCAAAAATGTTATTGACCTTCTCAATTTGGTCAAGGATTCGTGTTAGACAGTCCCATTAGGCTCAGGGCCCAGCACGGGCTACAGAGCCCAGATTATTCTCTAGGTTCTGAGCCACAGCACCTCTACAATAGACCAAGCCAACATCGAGATTCACAAATGCTTTCTCTAGATTTTGGAAAAAGTGGAGCTTTTCTGAAGAAATGTTGAAGCTCCGTGGAGTGGCTGCTTGTAATCACTCTCTACAGCCCCAGCCTTCTAGTCTTTTCCAAACAGTATTTTGACGATGATACAATTCTCCTCTTCAGATGTGGAGAAACTGGAGAACTGAATCATTTCATAAGACCGCAAAGCACAGAGGAGGCAAGGACTGTCTCAGAAGAACGGGATGAGCCTAACTCAAAGAAATCCTCGCTTTATTAGCCAAGTTTTCCCATGTGGAGAGCGCTCCCGAAGGAAACTTGGGGCACTCTCGTCCTGCAGCATGTTTTAAAACTCAACCAGACTCAGCCATAGGGACCGCAGGAGACAATTCTGCCCTCGCCAGATGACAGGGTATGGTCCAGCTCGCATTTCTGTAATGAATGATCCCAGTTACCTGGGTTGCCAGGCCGGGAGTGGAGGCAGAGAGAGCTGGTTGTTCACATCAGCTTTCGCTTGGAACGGGAGCAAGTCCGATCAGTTCTTCGGCTCGGCCCTCCTTTCAAGTCTCTGGAAACATCTCCAGGGAGAAAATAACACTAAGAAACACAGAAATCTTCTCTCTTCCCCGCAGGCCTTTGTCACCGTGCCAGTTCCTAAGTGCGCACACTTTTGGCAGACCGAATCACTCTGATACACTTTTCCCAGGGTTCAAAAAGAAAAGATGAACAAAGAACCTGCGGCTTCAAGGGGGAGCAAAGGTAGCCAGGAGTCTGTGAGGTAGCTCATCTTCTTTCTGGCAAAGGGGGGAGGGAGTGACAGTGAAAAGAAATCACCTTGTCAGTGGTTTCGGAGACCGTAGGTTTGGTGCCCGAGGGCATTTTCTGGGCTGGCTCACCCGGGTGGCTACAATTTTCCACGGGTAAAGCAGAGGGCGGCTTGTGTCAGCAAAGGGTGACACTCCAAGGCTGTGTTGTGGTTGGCGCTTTTTTTTAAGGCAAGGGAAAGTATTACTCCTTTAAAACTGGTTCTCAAAAGGTATACCGACTTCCTTGAGCAATATTTCTCAATGATTTCAGCCACACAGGAAAGTCAAAAATAGTTGATATTTTCTTTAGATTTTGAAAACAAACAGGATGTGTCTCTTTTCTTCTTATCTTGGCCCCAACAACGTTAGCAGTTGGTTCAGTTCTTCTAGTGTAAGAATTTCTATAACCACGTTAAGATTCAAAGTGTTAAGTTACAAATGGCATGGAGATGAGAACGAGTGGAAATTTTCGCCGTATTTTTATTATGTGCTTTCACTTTCTATAGCTATCAGATATATTTCCTTAGCAGTCGGCCTCGTATCACCCCCACTGAATAAGACAGACTTTAAACAAACAGAGTGACTATGTTTAGATAGTGTACTTCTCTGGATATTCGCCAAGAATTTGAGATGTGAGAAATAAAAATTCATCCTCAGCTTTTAATGGAATTGGACTAGAGCCAAGAAAATGTAGCACAAATCAAGTGTCTTCTCCAATGACGTGGTGCCAGTGACATCATAATTGGAGCTGAGATTAAGAAACCTCACAGGACTTCAGCTGTTATACTCTCTAATTCCTTGGTCCATAGAATTACTTTCTTCCCACTCTCTGCCAATTTATGAAGAATCAGAACATTGCCTGGCCCGGAGGGAGTGAGGTAAAATATCTCTCTCTAGATGAAGAGTACAAGAAATTGAGGCTTAATTTCCCTGATGTAGTCTCTGGTTGCAAGGTGAGCCCGGTTGAAGAGGGATGCAAACAGTCCCAGCCTGACCCTGCCTGGCTGCATCTTGAAAATGTCCGTTGTCACCCACGCGAGGTCCAGCTCTGCAATGTTATATGGTTTTCTGTGGGTTCTTTTTTCCTATTGACCCAGAATGATGAACTTCTAAAAATTGACACTAGCCAAATACCTATGAGACTGATTCAAAACACCAATATATTCATTCCCAGTGAATGAATGTAACTCCCTAAGGCTCGAGGTGGTTCCTGAGTAGGCTCAGATCATTCTTTCCTCTGGAGAAAAAGTTACAAGGGAATCTCACTTACATTTAGAAGATGGTTTAGTGAGTGCAGTGTTAATATGATGCTAATGGGGGGCGCCTGGGTGGCGCAGTCGGTTAAGCGTCCGACTTCAGCCAGGTCACGATCTCGCGGTCCGTGAGTTCGAGCCCCGCGTCGGGCTCTGGGCTGATGGCTCAGAGCCTGGAGCCTGTTTCCAATTCTGTGTCTCCCTCTCTCTCTGCCCCTCCCCCGTTCATGCTCTGTCTCTCTCTGTCCCAAAAATAAATAAACGTTGGAAAAAAATATGATGCTAATGGATACCATCAAGGGCTGATAACCTTGCCACCCGACTTCATCTCCAGAATGATTTCTCAAAAACGACAGGAGGGACAGTATTTTGGTCAGTGTTGGAACTCTAATAAATTAGCCTCTCAATCTTTTTTTTTTTTTTTTTAATTCAGGTAAATCTCCATCATCCCTAAATGATAGAGCGATATTCAGATTACGGCGGCAGCATCTGGCAATGACAACAAAACACCCCGATGGCTTTGGCAGGATCAGGAAGAAGGGCGAGAGCCCTTGACCGAGTTTGTGACACATCCTGTATCTCCTGTATGGCAATTTGCAAACGCACTAACTTTATTGGCAACACGCAATTAGACTCCGCCCAGGGGGCTTACGTTTGCACAGGAGCAGACCTCACGCTCACCCATCATGTTCTCTCTTCTTACACTTGCCTTAAGAAGTGACATTTTGTGACTTTGCTTCCAAATTTGGGACTGCATTCTGCTGTGCCTGACTGCTGCGCGCCCTGCTTCCATGATACCAGCCAAGTGGCAAGGGTAGGATACCCGGCGGCCACAAATGCTTTTTGTGCTCACAGAACGTCTTTCCCATCAAAACAATTTTTGTTCAATAATAAAAGGAAAGAGGGGTTAGGGAACCTCCCATGCGTATCAAAGTAAAAGAGGTGCTCTAGCCCAGTATCTATCCAAGGGACGGCACAAAAGGGGACACACCATTAGCCACCGTATTCAAAATTATAAGTAAGAGTCACATTTAAGGAATAATTCATTCAAGTCACGTGCATAATAACGGAAACTCTCCCAATTCCTTCGCCTTCTTTGTCAGGGTCTAAAAGATACTAGAAAACGTGAACAAAGGAGGAATTAATTTTTTTTCTCCCTGAATGAATAAATTTGTTCATGGGTAATTGTTTCTTTCTACTCAATAATAATGATAGCAACGACTCCTATTTATTGAGCACTTAGTATTTTGCCCAAGATATTAGACCAAGAACTAAAAGAAGTCTTCTCAACTGTTTCATGAGTTAAGTACTATTATTAATTCTAGCAGGCATCAGGGTGACAAAATTGGACAAGTTGCTTTATTCCCGTATGTCTCAGGTTCATAAAGCTTGGAAGTGGCAGGGTACTGCTTAAGCCCAGGGAATTTGACCATAAAGCCTGCCTTCTTAACTACTAAGCAATGTGCCTTCTTAACATTTCAAACTATAAATTCTTGTGTAATTTGGCCTAACCCATTATATCCATTAGTATTGACTCTATAAACTTGATTACTATGCAGAA